TTTTATTTATAAGAGTTATCCATTAAGTAATAAACTATAAGAATAAAAAATACAATATATTATTATACATTTTTTTATTTAAGTCAATAGTAGTTACAATATTTTGGGTAAGAAGGAATTAAGTCTTGATCAAAATGGATGAAGTCATACCGTACAAGTATGACTGTTGGTTAAGTCATAAAAATCTTGGAAGTATGAAGTCTTTGGCATTCTCTAGTTAATTTTGCTTTCCTCCTCAATATGTGCCTCATTTTATCCCTTTTTCCTCCTACGTCTTTTAACACTCTTATTTAATTAGTTTTCAACTTATGATGTTCTGCTCATTTTATTTCAGATCCAAAAATTATTATATTTAAATCTCTATTAACAATAAATTTACAAATCTTTGCAATGACGTATTTATAAACTCATTTTATCGTGCATTTTGTAGTTGCATAAATTTATTCCACTAGATAGGCAATACTGACAACCATATATCTTTTCTGTTTCACTATTTTTTTGAACGGCATATCTATATTATTCTGTGTTCCACCCTCACTACTAAAGGAACGGCCTATATAGTGGCACAATCAGGGATGGGGTTAGGGGGTTGTAAACCCTCTCGACATTTTTCTGAAATTTTTACAAATTCTACGTAAAAAAAAAAAAAATGGTTTATCTTGAACACACGAAACAGCTGAAATATGAATATTATTCGTAATATAATAGATAAAAATAACATGATGTTTTGTAACGATCCGATCAACTTTAAAACAACAATAACCTTGCTACTACGAAATCTCAACAGTCGATTGTATAATACTTTTTTTTGTGGTATCACAACATGAAATAGAATTTAAACAGTTTAATTTGTAATTTAAATATTTTACTCATAATATTAACTTAACATTACTTCCTTATCCCCACCAAACAGCTGTTTTTTTTTCTAATTCACAACCTAACCTAACTTAACCAACCAGATTGTTATTTTTGTATTGTAAATATTACTGGTATAAATTGAAACAACCACAGTATGTGGAAATATTCTGATTTAGCTTCTGCAAGATGGCCTGTTCCTCATTTAGACAAAATTCCTATTCCAACGTTTTATCAACATTATTATAACAAATAATGCAGAATTTATTTATTTACTTGTATTTTCAAACATTATAATACCTCAATATTTTAAATTTCGTTTTTTTTCCAAAAAAAAGGTGTATTTCCTAATTATTAAACAACAAAATAACAATAAACATATATATATATATTAACTGTTTTTTTTATTATTTCATCAACATACACTTACCCTAACATTACAATTTGTTTAGTAAAAAAAAAAAAAAAACTACTAGATAAACGCATGGGCCGTCTCTCAACGCATAAGACGTTGCCAGGTCGACGCCAAAAAAAAGTGTGTCGCTCCCTGGTGAGCAAGTGGCTGTTACGACCGCTAACCCCCTTCCTTATCATATATAAATAATTTGCTATTTACCCAGCATACACAACACTAGAAGAACACTACAGTAATTTGAAACGCTCTAAAAGTTCCTTTATTACAGTGGTTTTAAAATGCTCAGCTATTTCATCATCACTTATATTATGCTTTAAATGCTTTTCTATAATTACGTTTAGAAGAGGCCTAACCATTGAACTAGAACAATATTTTTCCCCACAAAAAATGGTGTTCATAATTTGTAGAGGTTTAAACAATTTGATTAACGCTTCAATATTTGTCCATTGATGTTCCGTCAATTTAAATTTGTGTACTATCGCTGCTGTAGTTATCGAACGATCAGCAAGAACATTTAAAATTGGACATCTATTTTAATAAAGGCACTCAAACATCTTAAATATAGAATTCCATCTTGTTTTACAGCTTTGAATCAAGCTTTCTGTTGGCAAACCTAGTTGTTTTTCCTTATCTTTTAAATATTGACTAGCTAAATTTGAATGCTTAAAACGACAAACTATTTTACAACTTACTTGAATTAAATTTTCTATTTTATCATATTTTAGGGCATTTTTGACAGCAAGTTGTAAAGTATGTACGGCACATGTTAGATCATTATTTTATGTGATATTTACCAGTAAAATAACTGGATTAAACACATTTTTTGCATTATCATTAACTACTGACATAATTTTTTGGTCGATTTCCAATGTTTATTAAAAGTAATTTTTAGATGATTTGAAAGATTTGAAACTGTATGACGATCGTCTAATTTGCGAGTGGTCAGGGTGTATGATTTTGGGCACCATTGGTCATCAATAAAATGTGCAGTAACTATTATGTACGATTCTTGAGCTATTGATGACCAACAGTCAGATGTGTAACTTACACTCTTGGCATCTTTTAATTTTTTTTTATTTAATCTTCAACCGAAGATTTTAATTCTTTGAGTCTCTGTTTGATAGCATCCTCCTTACAAATTATATAATTTGTTTCAATTATGTCCATAAAGTGTTTAAATTTGGAACTAGAACAAAAGGATAAGGGCATTTGATTCATTGCGATCATTTTAGTTAACGCCTGATGGATTTCTTCTGTTCTTTCAGAAGCACAAATTCGGTTTCTTCAAAGTTAACCATTTATTGGAATATACATTACATTATATTATTATAAATATACATATTTAAAGTGTATATGAATTTTGAAACAATATGTAATATACATGGGTAATAATAAATAAATATACGGGTATGCATGGGTATTAAATACACGGCCTTTAATATATGTTTTACCCGTATACCCGGGCTCCGTGTACCCATGTATTCTAATACCCGTTCACAACCACGACCTCTAATTTGTATTTTGGAAAACATTGTGTTATGCATTTCAGAAAAAAAAGATACTAATGGATTGAATTCTGAGCCCTATTTATTATACAATTACTTAATCTATTTCAAGATATTTTTGATCTATTATATAATTCTTATCTCTATAAAATGATTTAAATTCTTCGTTAGTGTGCATTTTTCGTGCTATTTTCTAAAAACAAAAATTTTAGTTCCAATTGTATGAACAACATTTTATAGTGCTTTAATATCAAACGCACAAATGCATCACATGTGTACTAATGATATATACTATTATATACCGTAAGTAATGTATAAATATTTATGAGCCTTTCTAAATATTTTAATATTCCTAAAAGTACACTATCCAGACAGGGCCGGATTTAATCATTATGCCGCTTTAAGCACCAAACAAATTGCCACTATTCAATATAACAATTTTTCTAGTCTAAAAAAATGTTATTTAAGCATACAATTATAGTTGTTTCCAAGGGCACCCATAAAGGGGGGAAGGAAGGGACATGTCACTCCCTGGAAAATATCAAAAATCTTGGAAAATTGTTTACTGTGATTAGAAAATATTTATTTAAATATAATTTAAAAATTGAATTTAATATATGCAAATCTATAATTTTGTTTATAAAAAATCTATTTATTTAGTTTGGAAAATCAGGTTATCAGCTATAAAATTTATAAAATTTATAAATTTATTTATTTAATTGTTATTTAATAATAATACGCTTTTTCGTTTCTATTCTATGGATAATTATCAATTCTTAAAATATTGTGTCTTTCCAGAAATACGGTATGTATAAGTGTGTGTGTACACAACCATAATATTTATATAATATTTTAATAAATATAACTAATGTTTTAAGTTTCCAATTTATATTATTAATTAAATAAAAATTTCAATAAATTACTTTTATGGTAAATTGGTTAAATAATAAATAGTCTTCCAGATTGATATATATAATGTTATAGTATAATGTAAAATTGTAAACTCCGTTCTATATCGTGGGTCATTCCTATTTATTTAATAGATTGATAAATTAAAATGTTGTCCCCCCTTGAGAATTTTCCTATGGGCACCCTTGGTTGTTTCCTTTATTACTTATAATTTTAATGATATAAAATAAAAATATACAGCTGTTAAAACAAATATTCATATGAAAAACTTAATTATAAAAATATGGTACAAAATATAATGATAAAAAACATGGTAGTAAAAAATGTTAAAATAGTTCATTTTTCACTTTTAACTTGGCAGAAATAAAAATATTGCACTAAAATTCCAAATTATCGCTATTTTTAAAGATTAAAACCCGTAGAGTTAATTTTTAACCTTATTTTTAAAAATATTAATTTTGTTTTGAGATATTTTGAGTGAAAATGTGTATCTTTAAAGATACATCATCTCAAAAATGCTGTTTTCAATTTTGTGTCTTTTAAGATACACTACCTCCTAAACTATGTTTTATTTTTGTATCTTTATGGATAAATCACTATGAATTCCCCATTTTGAATCTAGTATCCTTTTAGTGTACCTACATCTCTTGATTATGTCTATTTTAAGTTTTATTACTAAAAAGTTACTAAGTAAAACAATGTAATAAAAGGTAAAAAAATATTGTTTTTATTGCTTTTTAATATAAAAAATTAAAAAAATTATAATAGTACATAACAGTTAATGAATATATTTTGATAAACTCTACGATTTTGAAATTGGAAAACAAAATATAAATACTACCACAACTTCGTTGGCCTAAAATCGTTTTAAAATTAGTTGCATTTATTTTAAAAACATATAATAAAAATGTAATATTAAAAATTATTTGCCGCCCTAAGCACTAGCTTATAGTGTTCCTGGGAAATCCGTCACTATATTCAGAATTAACGTAAATCAAAAACCACTATTGCAAAACCGTTATAGCTATTTAACAACTACTTTATTATTGTCACTAAAAACCTGATTTAAATTTCGTATACGCATGTTTTGTTGTTAACTTTTTTAAGTACGTTTAAAGTCGTAAAGTACAATGCAATATTTGTTCGATTACATAAATATGTAATTACATTGTGTACTGATGGCCTAATAACGATAAGTCACATTGACAGTTGTAACCGTCACCCTTGAATGTTTTTTTATTATTATATTATTATATCATTGATGTAACAAGTAATAGTATGTTTTTGTGTGAATGGCCTACTTTTATTTCATGTGGCATGGTCCAGTCTCCAGGCATCACGTAGAAGTTTCACTTGTGAGTTGCTCTTGCTCAATGCGTGATCAAATAATAATTACTGTGCCGGTTAAAAAATTCTTATTTTACTCGTAAAAACAGTTACAATTTTACTTTACCATATCCCATTTGCAGTTTATATACAATATGTCAATGTTCTAATTGTGATATTAAAACTCTAAGGTTTTAATCGGATGAGTGTTCTTTTTCAAATTTAAAAAAATGACAGAAAATAATATTTTGTGCGCATGCATGCTTCGGTTGTCTATTCTCATCGGCCTTTTATCAGTTGTGGTTACTATAATTTATTATACACCTGTACCTGATCTCGGTAATTATACAAGTTCTCATAAGTTATATATAATTATTACACAATATGTTTATACTAGCGAATAAAAAAATATCACTGAGTCAAAGAAATAAAGTTTTATTAAATAAAATATAAATGATTGAGGTATATTAAATTTTAAAATTGGTACTAATCAGTGCTTGACTTGAGGGGGGACGCAAGGGGATGAAGTACCCCTATTAATTTTCAGAAATGTTAGCGTTCCCCTATTATTATTACGTTATAATTATAACGCTTAACAAGTCTCGGGGACGCTATTTTCTTTAAAGTAAACAAAAAAATAAAAAAATTGACCAGGGAGACATAGGAACAATCGGATCGATAGTGTTATGATTAATAAACATTAACATAATATTTAATTTTAATTTTTCTATTTTTATTTGTACATTTTTATAAAAATATATATTAGTTAAAATGTGATAATCAGAGCTTATAACTTATAGCATTTACATATTTTTTTTGAGAGGTTCTAGAAATAACTATATAAGCTACACATTTGTTTGAGATAACTAAGAAGTTAAATACAAAATTTTATATTGCATATTTTTGCATATTTCAAAGTATAAGTGCTGTTTTGCTTTTTTTTCTATTTTGCAGACTTATTCTTGCATATTTAGAAAATTGTTATTTGCTATAATTCTTTTTTTAGTCTTTTTCAGTTCTGTAGCGTTTAAAACATTTTTCTTAAAAATAACAAGTAATTATAGTATTATTATTTTCTATTTTTGTAATTAATTCATGTTAATTAACTAATTCTTCTTCTTTTGGTTTAAATTATATATTTATTTGTATCATATAGCGAAGCAATCAGAATTTTAATAATAAAAGTTTAAATTTTCATTATTATACATGATATGTTTTTTTAAATTATAAATTAAAATTATTTATTTTTCATGTTATATTTATTTTTGTATATTTTTGTATTTTTAGTGTATATTTAAGTCCTTTTATGAATATTTTTAAGAGCATATTATAGAGCTTATAACTCTATATATATATAACTCTATAACTATTATAACTACTTTTTTTAGAGGTTTAAGTTATGAGCCCTGGTGATAATAATAGTTCCAGTTGATTATCCCTGAGTACCCAGTCTACTTCTGATAGTAAGAATATATTCATGTTGGTATTAATTATTTTTAATATTGCATTAAAGTAGTAATTAATATTTTACATAAATATAATATGTATTGTATGATTAATAATTAAAAAAATTTAAACACCCATTTAATACGAACTTTTGTGTTGGATATCTAAAAAAGTTTTTTGTGATTGATGGAATGATTTTGTCAAATGTGTAAGAATTTCTCATTAGTCAATTACTTAACCAAAGTAAAATATTTTGTTATTTAAACGCTTGGTCATTTCCATCTCATATTTTTCAATGGCCATAAATAGGAAAGGTAATGTCTTATTTACTATTTAATTACATGTTTTTAGTAATTACTTTAATTATTGAAGATATATTAAAAAAAATTTGGCGTTTAAATATATTCGAACTAATTATTAATGCTTTTAAATTGTATTGACTAAAAAAAAACTTATAATGTGGTTATGTAGATATGCGAGTCTTGTGACAGTTGGGTTATTAGTAAGGAAATAAAATATTTATTATTATTGTATTATAATAAATTATATGAAATCTTACCATTTTAAATCTGGTGAAAATAATATTTAAGAGTTCACATTATATAGTGTTAATAAACGAGTGAAAGTTAATGGTTGCGACGAAATCCTTATTAACGTAATAATGTAATAGTAGAAGATTTCTATATTGTATAATAAATAGGCATCGCAAACAATTCGTTAACTTGGCATGTGTCCAATAATAATAAAACGGGGGACGACCATACGAAGAATTGATATATTAATTAATCGAATAAGTGTGTGAGTGGATAATTTTTAATTTAATGGGAGGGGTAAGCATAGAAAGGCTCATAGCTTCACAGACAGGGGCATAATTTTTTTTTTTTTGGGGGGGAGCAGACTATAGCAAATGATCCATGCTAAGAAATTTTAAAAAGTCGGCAATTAACTAACACAGTATACTACGTAATATTCATCAAAAATTTAATTAGTTTTATTCATTTATGGTTATGTTTACTGTTTAGTAGTTTAGTGCGTTATGTGTATTGGTATGTCATTCAATATTAGTAACAAATTATTTTTTTTTACTTAACGATAACTGAGTCACAGACCTATGCATTTCGGCAAAGATTAATTCAAAATTATAAACAGCATTAAAATGAACGAATTCATTTGATGTGAGTTCGGTACACTAATATATTAAAATGTTTTACTGAACATGTATATTTTTGGTGTAGACGCCAAGACTAAAATTATTTTGGACATTTCCGAGTTAAGCTTTTTACGACGCGTGGGGTTCGCATGGGATATTTAAGATATTTTGTCGTCTAGGGTATTGGTATAGTTTCATCGTATTAAGTACAAGTTGATGTGTAATTAAAGGGGTAACAGTGTATTATACCAAAATATTTGTCTAGATAAGGATTATCAGCTGAGGAGAGATTTATGTAAGAAATTAAATTTGAATCGGTGATTGTAAAAACCACACTTGTCACATATTTTATGAAATCGTTTTTATTTAAGTTATTTAATCTACTATAATAGACGCATGTTGTATGTAAAAAACCACATTTGTCTTGCAATGTCTTGTGTGTTTAAATAAGGTCTGAAATTCCCGCATGTTTTTCCATTCGATATCCGCTAAGGTAGATTTGTGACAAGTGTGGTTTTTACAATCACCTATTCATTTAAAGTCAAAGACTTCTGCAGCTAATTTTAACCATGTGCGTCCATATATAATGTAACTCTACAGTGTGTATAACAATAAAAAGAAATTTAAGTAATTTGAAATTTGAAATTGGATTCAATACATTCGTATTGTACGTTTATAACGTGTTCTTTTGTAATCAGTCAATCTAAATAATAAATTTTAATTGATTTTATGTGTGAATGTATGATATCTACATAGGTAGGTATATGGTTAATAAAATGTATTGTATTTGCTAATTTTAGAAACTTCATTTTAAAACGATACATATTATATTTTGTAAAGTAATTTTAAATTATCAAAATAAAAATCGTTCAGAGAAAGTATATATATATTAGTCAAACAATGCAATATTAAAGAGTGCGGGTATGTTAGATTCTTGCCTCGTCTAGTCTTCTTGAAAGGAAAACTGTATTGGACTATGTCAAAAGTACTATCTGAAAGACACATTTAACTCAAGTGCGAGCTACAGTAAGAAGTATGGCTCCTGTGAGACAGTTAAAAGGGCTGACTAGTAGAATTTCAGTTGTTGTAGGAGTAGTTATAATTACTGGATTAGTTCTTTGGAATACCGAGCTACCAAGTGAGTACTCATCTAAAATCTGGTGTAGTGTTTCGTTTTGTATTTCAATGATGATATAAATATTGTACATCCCATTTACATAGATTTACATAGTTTAAAAAGATTAATTTCGATAATTAAATTTGGGTTTGAAGCTTACGTTACTAAATTGTATTATAACACTATAATTACAAATTATTTTATAATGTTTTAGAAGCTTCAAAAGAAAATTGTGATAGAAAATGTCATGAACTGGATTGGCCGTTAATTTGCAGATTCAAGATTGTATTGGAAACTCAAAAACTTCAAAAGTAAACTGAATTTGTATAGTATCTAATAGTTATTACTAGGGTCTGGATTTTTATGCAGATGCATATTCTTTTACAATTCACCTAGAATAATTTTGATTAAAAATGTTAATGTCTCGTACTTAATATATTCATATGGACTGATCAATTTATTGATAATACATTTATACTTTAGAAATTGTCAAAAGTGTTCAGGCAATCAAACGCAATGCCTTGATGACATGTATTGTGACAGATACTCAGAAAAAATTATAACAGCTAACAAACAAGTTCCTGGTCCACCAATAAGAGTAAGTGAGATAAATCATAATTTTAGTATTTGTTTATTAAATGGCTCTTTATAATCTTTATATACCCATTGGTATATTTACACATTTTATATTTATTATTTTAAGTTGTACTAAAATAAATTTTGATTGAAATATAAAAAACAAAAGTTATAACATATAACAAATATTTTTTTTATTGTTTTCTCTTGTGATTTAACAATCTATTTTATAATATAATTTGTTTTTCTAATATTTTCGATAACATCCATTCATGATTAAATATTTTACTAGAATACAATTATTTAATAGGAAATCCATTAAATATTTTTCCATACCATGTCAGGATATGATTAATTATTTTAAACGTGATTTGATATTCGATTTAATTAAATCACATGATTTATACAAAGATTTGTACAAAATTTTATTCTTCGATAGACTGGTTGAATTTAGTTTTATTACTTCAAAAACATCCGCATAACATTATTGTTTTTAATTAAACATTTTTATTCGTCAACGGCATTGGAACCTTTTATAGTATTTTTCAATTATAAGTTTTTTTTTGAGAGAAATACTCATGACTAATTTCATCTATATTACTTATATTTATAATTATTAATTTTAATTAGATTAAATTTTATATAGGTTTGTGAAAATGATATAATGGTTATAGATATTGTTAACCGAATACCAGGGCACAGTGTTTCGGTACATTGGAGAGGTCAATGGCAAAGAGAGACTCCAATAATGGATGGTGCACCTATGGTAACTCAGTGCCCAATATTACCACATACAACATTTCAATATAAATTTAGAGCTGCTCAAGCCGGAACACATTGGTGGCAAATATTATCTGGTAAAATTAATAAGAAGTCAGAGATTTTGTTTTAAGTTGAAGAAGTATTATTATAATTAAATTTAAAAGATTTTGAAACGATACATTTTTCTGTTTTCTGTAGTTTTCTCAAAAACACACACATCATTATTATAATATTAGTCGCAATAAATATTTTATACAATTTATATTTTTATGGCTATTACCTGTATGTATAACTTGTTTTAATCGAATCAAATGTTTTATTAAAAGGCGATGAGTTGTCTGAACGAGTTTTTGGAGCGTTTATAGTAAAACAGTCGAAACGAAGAGAGCCACATGCTGCCATATATGATCATGATGAAACTGCATATACTTTACTTGTAGAGTACACAATATCTCAAAATAGTATCGATGGAATTCGTATAAACGGAAATACAATGAATACGGTAAATTAAATATTGGGTAACTTATTTATTTATTTCAACGGACGTAGTTTGTACTTGAATTTATTCTTATACGAGTATATAAATAAAATAGCAGATATTTTTAATATATCAATTTTCTGATAACACTTTTAAACTTTTTTTTTTTTCATAGAATTGTTCTAAATACCTCCCAAAATTGCTCATTATTTCATTTTTGGTATAAAGAGTAGAAAATAAGGGATGTATTGTATTTAAATATTATGGTTTTTCGACGAGATTTTAGATAAACAATACCAGTTTGTCCAAGAAGAACACGATCCGATCAAATAAATATGAGTTTTCTTGGATAGCTATCTACGATTTGGTCAAACGTTGAACAAAAGTATTTTAAAATAAATACAAGAGTTCTATTAACACAAGATATAGAATTAAAATTTTTTTTTACATTACTCCTGAAAATTACTACATTAATTTTAAATAATGAGGATGGATACATCGCAAATGTAAAAAATTAGTAGTATCAAATAATTCCCTGGAACAAATCGCATACAATTTGTACTTAAACATAACATTTTTTTAAAAATCAAAATATTGGACGATTATGCATACGAGCTATTTTAACTACAATAAATGATTGAGTTGATATAATAAACTCGCTAAAATAATTAATAAATTTAAAGCAAATGAATTAATTTTCTTTCGATCAAGTTTTAGACAATGAATAATCATAACATTTTCCTCCAGTTATAACATTTACAAATGCCATCTGGTATACTTCGACATAAAATATTATTTTAAGTTGTTGTTTTCATTATATTATTATGACATTCTTATTTACCTAGGTTATGCAATTGGACTAAGCTCCGTATTTTATCTCTTACAAAAAATGTAATCAAAGCTTACATTTTGACAGTAATATGTTGTATATATAATAGGTATTCAGTTACTAAGGAACAATTGACATAATATAAAGTATTTTCAATAAGCATAGACTACTATGTATACAATTATTTTAAATTATTTAATAAATTCATATTAAATAATTGCTGATTCATTGAAAAATCAGTTTAATTCACAATTTACAAATAATCTATTTAATACAACTTACGATTTTAAATTAAATTAATAAAAATAAAGAGATAAATTGTCATTTATACTATTTAATTTCATATAAATCATAAAATTTTCCTAACCAACAAATATTTCAAAATGTGAATAATACTATACGATATATATATATATATATATATATTATAGGATATTACACAATATTACTTTTATCTACTACCCCAGAAGGTTAAAATATTTTCCATATAGAGTAAAAAGACATTAATTTCACTAAATTAATAAATTTCACGAAGTGGATGTTCGCTTGCGCTTTTTACAATCTAATTTTTTCGAATTGAAAATTTTTTTTTGAATCCATAAACATTTGATATTTGATATTTATACATATATTTTTAAACTGTTTCGTTTTAGTCGATTGTGGTTAAAAACAACGAGAGATATAGATTCAGAACAATTAATACCGGAGGAGCTTCGCAATGTCCAATTGAAATCTATGTACAGGAACATCATTTAACGGTGATATCGATTGATGGTAATGCGGTTGAATCCAAAACAGTAGATATTGTTCGAGTAGAACCAGGTTTGGTTTTAAATAAATAATGATATTGTATTTTCTACTTAAAATATCTATGTGATAATGTGTCCTTAAAGGTGAAACATTGGATTTTATTCTAACAGCGAGTAAAAACCAAGGCATTTTCGACATGATGGTCATCTCTGAGGGTCATTGCAAAGATTTCAATCTTACACACACATTAAATTTACACTACGATTCATCATTAAACGATATTATTTTTGATATGAAAAATTCTAAACAACTGGTAAGCATGACGAATAAATTTCTCTACGCTCAAATGTGAAAAAAAAATATTATACTTTTGATTTTCCAACGAATACATAATATTATGAAATTATACTTTACTTTAAAAATATAAATAGTTAATGGACATTATTATTTAGTTTTAATAAGTTAACGAGTGTAAATTTTGTTTTGTATTTTATAATTAGGGGTATGTAGATACTTTATTACAGGGGTGGAAGAATAATTTTAGAGGGTGTAATTTTTGTAATTATTTAATATTTTTAACTTGATTATTTTTAACTGATATTAGATTAAAACTCAATAAATATGATTGTATATTAATTATTAGGGAAAAATTCTTGAGAAGAGTATTTGATTATTGGTCTATGATCAAGCGTAATTTTAACATTTCCCCCGAGCGTAAAAATTCCTAGTTCCACCTCTGCTCTGGTATTGGTGTACTAATATATCGATAGTACGTTATATAAAACTCATAAAAAGAACAGCAAATCTAAAATATTTAATTTTTCTTTTTCAATTTTTTTTTTAAAGATTTCTAGTTTAATGTTTTATATAAAAATAAAAATATGCAATTTGTACTCGTGCATATTAAAAGGTTTATATACCATTAATGGCAAAAGCCTTTATTAATTATTTTGGAATGTATCCAAATTGCATTTGCCGCTTTTTAGTTCATTAATTTTTTATTGGTGTGTGAATAGTTTTGTTCTGGACTGATTGTATTTTCATATTAACTGTTGACAATTTCTAAAGATGGCAAACAATGGAATTCGATTACAATGATAAACATTAAGTTAATGGATGTACGAGACGAAACAAAACTAAATTTAAAACTCACACTCTTTGATTTATTAAACTTTTAGAAATAATATTCGATATAAGCATTGGTTTATACTAGCGTTCGATTTATTATCTATCGCTGCATCATAATAGGATTAACGGAATTTAGTGATTTCATATTATTATACAGGTCTGATTCTCAAAATATTTCAAATTGCTTTTCATACGACAGCAATTAATGATGTAAATGGGAAACAAAATATTGAACACTCAATAATATTTAAAACTGTAATTTTTAGAAAACTGACAGTGTTGAGAATCGGCACTTGTCCACCACAAGTATATTGAGTTTACCGCACGAGTTGTCCACAGAAAAATTGAAAAATACTATATACTTGGGATTTTCTTCAATCAAATATCAACTCGGTGGTAAGTATTGAACCAACAATAACATAAGAGTATAACAGAATTTTCAGTACAAAACAGCCACGCGCATTTGGTTAAATGTAAAGCAAGCATGTCAAACACGTGGCTTGCGGCTACCAATATTAATTAATAAAATAAAAAATGAATAGTAAAAAAACATTTTAAAATATTTATGTCGTGTCGTAACTATCTTAAATTTGTAGAGAATGTTTTACTTAGTATAAGTGTTCTGCATGGTCCGTTATTTAAAGGACCAGACCGGACTTCAAATTTTACCAGAGGACCGAACCGACGACTTCATATTATTTTTAGACCGGACCGAATCAGTAATAAATAACATTTAATAAAGAAGACCGTGGACCGGACTGTCAGTCTGATCTTAAAACATTAATACCGTTTATGGACCGGTCCGTAAGGTTCAGTCTGTATTAGCTCAGACCGTACCATATAGATGCGTTTAGTATTATACTGGTCCGGATGCCAGTTAAAATCATGAAAGTAAAAATCGCGAAAATAAAACGGCGAAAATAAAAATCGCGAAATATTTTAACAGTGAAAACATTAATAGTGAAAAGTAAGAAATATACCTGGATATATCTTTATAATGTAATAAGTAGAGCTTGGAACTTAATGCATTTAAAAATTACTAAATATGCATGCACTTATGCACTTAAAAAGTATAAATATGCTCTAAAAATATGCACTTATATTTTAATTTTGTACACAAAATTTTCATTGCACAAATATTTTATAAAATTATAAATATAGAAAAAGCAAAGTGTTAAAAATAATTCTGATTAATAAAATAATAATAAATTAGTATTAAAAGTGTTTCTTGAATAAAAAAAAATCCCCCGAAAGAATGTTCAATAATCATTGAGTTATTTTCCTAGAAAAGTATTTATAGAAAATTATTATTTATTAATAATAATATAATAAAATGAATAATTAATAATTATTTATAGAAAACTATCCTATTTGATAGTTGTATAATATTTAATTTTAAATAAAGCTAGCTGTAGTTATAATTTATAAATAAATAAATATATATATATATATATATTATTTAACCGATAGGGGAAAACATTGTTTTTAATGTCAAATGGAAATTTTAAAAATACAATACAATTATATCAAGAAAGTTCTCTCAATATGAATGTATTTTATTTTTCGAATTTCCATACTAAATCTTTAAAAATTATAAAATATGCTCTAAAAAATATTAAAATCAAGAAATATGCTCTATCTAATCTAAAAATCACTAAATATGCAAAAATATGCACTATAAATTTTGATATGTTTTACGTAGTGTTTTGAAATTAATTTCTAGCTCATTTAGCAATAAATCAAATAGTGCAAAAAAAAACATGCAAATGCAATAACTTTCGAGCTCTAATAATAAGTAATAATTAATATTAAAATCAAAATACTTTATAAAATAAAATTTAAATTTGATATTTTTCCTATACTTGTGTAAGTATATAAAATACATCATCACACTATACTATGATCACAATATATATGTATATAATATATAAAGCTTGACAGCGATTAGGTTTAATCACAGCTTATATTTATTACGTGATCCAAGACGCAATATTACAAAATTAAATTATTAATTATCTAGTATTATTATATTATAAAGGTATACCCACTAACGAAAATAATTTCTTTCTTTTCGCTATTAATGTTTTCGCTGTTAAAACATTTCGCGATTTTTATTTTCTCTAATTTATTTTCGTGATTTTTACTTTCACGATTTTCATATGGACTCTACTGAACCGGACTAACCGACTTTACAAATAAATATTTACCTAAAGATGTAGGTTTTTTTTCGTTTAGTATCATGATTAAGTACCATGATTGGCACCGGACTGAGACCGGACCGGACTGATTTTCATTTTAGATTCTGAACGGAGTGATGGAATCTATTGGTTTTACAATTATGTGATTTTTTTTTGTGTCTGTCATCACGTTTTGGGGCAGTAAAAATGCTTCGATTTTCTTAAACAGCAACTTTTCTGAAAGGAAAGTGAATGAAAATGGTTCTTTGGCAAGTCAAAAATCGAAATTTTTCAATACTTTTTAAAAGCATCGAAAAAAACCATAAAAAATTACGAAAAAACGGGAATTTTTACGCAAAACCACGTTTTTGAAAACAAAATTTTTTTTCAAAAGCTCTAACTCAAAAATGAAAAACCGCATGCATTTGAAATTTTCACTAAATATTTAAATTAGCGTTTTCTATACATAGTAACGTTTTTGAAGTATTTTGAAAAATGTTGACTTATTTATAGACAATTTAAATTTCCAATTTTTCAAAGTTTTTTTTTAAATTTCTATAAAAAAAATTTGGCTGTCCAAAAACTCTTGAAAATTTAATACAAGGTTCATTATAAGTTATATTTACTTATATTATTAGTTATACTTTTCTAAGTTTTTTTTTTTTTTGAAACACCCATAAAAAAATTTGGCTGTAAGAAAACTTTTGAAAACTTAATACAATGTTTATTATAAATTATTTTTATCGAAACTAAAAAAAAATTGGAAATCGTTTCACACAAATTTTTTTATAAGCCCATAAAGTTCAAATTTGTATAAAATGTATCGAAATCACGATAGTTTGCAAGTCATTTTGTAGATAAAAATTCATAAAAGTATTCTGTGTATACTTAAGGTTCAAAATTTTAACATTAGGTTATCCATAAGTTATTCTTCTAATAACTTTAAAAAAATTTCTACTGGATTTTAAAGAAAAATTTTTATGATCGTTTGAAATTTAAATTTTTACGAAATTGCATATAATAACAATTTTTCCTCAAACGATTTTAAATATTTGTTATTATTCAAAAAGTGAAAGTCGCAGAAACTCGAAACTTTTATTAGTTATTAAATTTGGCATTTTCTTTAAGCATATTTTTTTTTCGTTAAATATTTATGTGTGGCTCGCATAGTAAATTAGGTATCCAATATTTTTGACCCACTTGATACTTTGAATTTGACATGCCTTATGTAAAGGATATTAAAATATGTAAAAAAATAGTTGAAAATAGTGTCAAATATATATGACGAAAAGGTTTTGTCTCTTATATACATATTTCTTTCAATAGAGTAAAATCGATTTTTTTGTCATAAATGGAGATGCTAAACTACCATAAGCATTTATAAGAACTTCTCTACGTATTTATACTATTTGCTGTGGTAGTTTTTACAATGATATAATTGTATTTTGTGTATTCCAGAAGGGACATGGTCGTTGCCGAATTTCAACAACTTGTCGATGGTTCTTCCGTCCGCACCGTTACTATTGCAACAGCCCGATGACGTAGTTATGTGTAACACTGAAAATGTGCCGCACAAATGTCAGTCTAGTTTAACGTCTTGTGAGTGTACGCACGTCATTGATTTACCACTAAACTCTGCCACGGAATTGGTTATTTTCGATACAGGTATACAATATAAATTGTTTTTTTTTGGACCACTGAAATATTATTTTTTATAATATTTTTGATTCCGAGGAAAATTTATGCATTTTATTGGTTATATCATGATTAATTTAAATTAAACGAAAAATAAAACGATTTCGAACCTAATGAGTGCTCTGATCATTCTCAAATAATTAGTAAAAGATAAATCTTGATGTCTATCTGATACCCTGGTAGAGGAAGTTAATTTTGTATTTAAAAAGTTTTTCGAATAATTGAAAAAATCAAAGAATAATTTCTAAAAAACGTCAACAGAGATTAAAATTTGAACCACACACAGTTTAAACTTAAATTTTATCACACACTATTAGTGGATAGACTAAATTTGTATTTCTCAATTTTTTCTTTTGGGTTTATGTATTTACACGATTTTTATCAAAATATTTTCTCAGATCATCATAATCATGGAAGGTTTTTGAAAGGAAATGTTATTCTGTTGGTAATTTAGGGAAATTAAGGTAATTTAAATAAAAATTACAAAATTAAGTTACACTGATTTTCGACACTGATGATTTAGTTTTTTCATCGCAACTTAAACAATAATAATGGGAGAGACTTGAGATTTTTACTGAATATTTATTAAATCATTAGTTTTTTATATTGATATTATAATTTCTAAGAGATTTAGACTTTTTTTGAGCCATGTCATGTTAAATCTCAGCACATAATGATTATAACATAATCATCACGTTCATTAAATTTTTGGGCTCATACAGATGTATTATTAACCAAGACATTATAAGGGTTTATATCGTTTTAACCAATACTATTTAAATATTGTTAAAAAACGTCTAAGTGTTGGTTTTAAGTGAAAATGATTTCCTTAGAGCACACACTGTTTAAAACAGACCGATCGCATTCGTTTCACTTGCACGGGCATAGTTTGTACATGGTTGGTGAGAAGCGAAAAGTATTCATCAAGTCGGCAGATCAAGCAAAGAAGTTAGACGATGAAGCACAATTGTTGCGCAGGAGACTCGACATGCCGGTATTGAAGAATACTGTTGTTGTAACAGCAGCGGGCGTATCAGTTGTACGATTTATTGCCAACAATCCCGGTAAAGATGGTATCTTATTACTCGTAAGGAACAAGAGGGGATCCTGGATTATATCTTACTATTAAATAAAATCATTCATATTTTTATTTGTTTGTTACGGGGACAGTAGTCTTTAGAACTGCTAATTTTTATTCTAGTTCATTTTTATCTTGTTTTGAATTTACAATAAAGGATGAAAATCTTATATAAATATTTACCCTTTATTCAACCGTGACATTTCATCAAGTTGTCCTAGACATTTTTATAAAAATTGCACTTTGAATATATTAAAAAGTTCATTAAAATCCTATTATTATTTCTTCCGTAAATTAAAAAGAATTCAATGAATCGTTCTAATTTTTTTTTCTTTGTATAATTTTTTACTATAAAATTTTACCCGTTTGACTTTCCCATTCATACTTGAATATGATTAAAGTAAAATTCACTTAAGATGCTCTTTAAGGGACCACCTCAATAGATGGTCCTAAGCGGGAAAGCATTTTATGCAGGAATTGAAAAAATAAAGTGATTGAAATATCGAGTTTATTTTTTTATTATTGGATATAGTTAGGTAAATAATAGGCAAAACATTTATAAAATATAATTTCATATATTTTTTTACTATTGAATTTAATTAAAAAATAAATAAATACATTTATCAATATAACTATGTATTTTTATTATCATTTTGTTATTTCATTATATATTAAAAAACCAATTAACCAATTTTGTTTGACATTTTTGGTTTTGAAAATTCGTTTCAACAAGAAAGTTATCGATTTTGTTGACATAACTTAATATTTCTTTGGCATTTTCTACAGAGAACAATACTTTTCGAATTTAAAATAGGTGTTGCAAGTGAGTAGTAATTGTAGGAGTCGATACTGGATTGTTTGGATCTTCTTCTTGATTGTCTTAAACTTCGTAATACGATGAAATACGTATCTACTCATTAAGATACTGTAGTTATTATGATAAAATAAAATTATAAATACGATAAAAATTCATAAACGAGTGAAATTTCGATTTTTATTTTCACACAGTTACTTCCCTTTATCGTAATCAGCTGAACAAAAGAGCGTTTTATCCGATTGGATAGAAAAAAACAGAGCGTCTTAACAGGTGGTTTTTTTTTATAATATTGACTAGTATAGAAAATTTCTAGGGGGCCGATGGATAACAGTGTCTCATGTGAGAAAGTGACTTAAGCTGGAGAGTCTTAAGCGTGTTTTACTGTATAAAGTAAAAGCTCGTGCACAATGCTTTTCTTGTAAACGTACTATACATAAAACAAGATTATACAAATTTAAGTTGAGATAAAAAAAAAAAATAAAATAAAAATTCAAGTAATTGTCAGAACAATTTTTAAATAGGTAACATAAATTGAAAAATTTCTTTGAAGGAAGTCTCTAAATAAATTAACTACATTTTTTTGAATGAACATCAAAGTTTTATCGTTAAAAGAATTTAAGGAATGTATGAAACTTTAAATTAATTGAACCTTGTGTAAGAATAAAGATAGATGAATTACTTTTTCAGAGTAGACTTAAAACTATAGCTGATGTTCTATTTTTTGTTCACCTTAATATTATATATATATTTCATCCTTTTAATTAAAATAGTAAAAAAAAAATTATGAAACCATAAAATGTTGTTACATCTTTTAAAAAGTTTAACTAATATAATTTCTTTTTCCGTTGAATGAAATAACTATTTATTAAGTAATTAAAGGTAATACTATATTTCTAATTATTAACAAAGGAATACTAATTTTAATTTATGCATTTTTGTAAATTATTTCAAAGTATTTTGTTATAATGTATATTAAGTTGAATATGCACTTCATTATTATACTTTATTTTATTATTCATTGGGAAACCATATTATTGAGAAACTATTGATTTAAATAACAAATTGATACTATATATTGAGGTTCGTTGACTATGATAAGTTGATAAATTTGTAAAAATACTTTAAAATAATACAATATATTAACAGTCACTTTTATATTTTTTCATTAGTAATATACATTCTTAGATAATAATTATATATCCAATAAACATTAGTAAACGAAAACTCTATTGTCTAGATAAAAAAAATTTGTATTTATTCTAATAACATTGATTAATATTTCTATTTAATATTAGATTATTAAAATTAATTTTTATTATATTGTTGAATCTTCAAGCAAATGTTAAAAAAACCATTAAAGTACAAAGATAAAATAAAAGATAATAGAAAAACACTATTATTTTTTAATGTAACTAAAACTAATTTAAAACAATGCATCAAGGATTAAGACGTACGAAAAACTTTTAAAGTATATTTATGTCTTTTCTTATGTTTTGTTAATCTACAGAAAAGTTGAATCTTTGTTTTTTAATTTACAATTTGTGGAGGGTACAACACTGTTGAATTTTCGTACAAATCTCACAAGATATTATTCTAATTAAAACTTTGAACACAGATTATAGTAATCAAAACAACATTTGAACAATGAATAATTATAATATTATTTTTATATAAATTATTTCAAGGGAGGTTTTAAACATTGTACTTAAGAATAAATCTTATTATTAAACACGTTTATATTGTTTAGAATAAAACTATTTCTGTTTTAAAAGAAAATTTTTACCCAAATATCTATAAGGTATACAAATATTTTATTTAAAATACTGTTTTCGAGAATATAATCTATATAAATATAAGATATTAATTAAATAATGACTTTACAATTAAACAAATTCTATTTAATGAAACTTTTGAATTTGAAGCATAAAAGTAATATTTTTATCAATATTTCAATAATCAACACGTAAACTTAATATCGTATATTATGTAAATTTTTAATCTTATTCATAATCAAACTGGTTGTAACTACGAGTACATAATTTACTTATAGACTATAGTACTTGTACTTACGATCAGGGCCCCATTTACTTACACTTAATTTGCCAATATATACATACTACTTGTACATTCTTTTACATACGTTAATAGTTCGAGTACAATAAAAATCTTAACATTTTCATCTTATTGTAAGGCGAATGAGATTATAAAATAATTTTGCATAGAGCCTGAAACGACGGATCCCGGGACTCTAGCCCTCCTGCTCTACCCTCACGTTTGCCCTGTTAGACATATGTGTATTAAGATAATTTATTTATACTATAAAAATTGTAGTGAATATTTAATAATTGTACATTTTGTATTACAGGGTACTGGTTATTTAGAAGTGAAATAACATCAGAATGGTCCAGTGGCTTGTCATTGATTTTTAGAGTTTCAAACCCCTCTGGAAGTTATCAAGTACCAGAGGATTTTCCCAAGTGTGGAAATTTTATTGGTCCAGAATTTTTTTTGGCTTGATTTTCAGTTAAGTAATTATTAAATTGTTGTTAGTATCAACATATTACCTACTGTATTTAATTATGATCTCCAATGTTATATTTTAATTGCATAGTATTGTATAAGGAGCTAAGGTAAGAATGGTAATTATAAACTAGGTATCAACGTTCACATCAATACGTCTATTAAAATTAAGTTCTTTTATTCTACGAGTAATTTGTTGGTAGTAAGTAGGTTTTAAAGTATCTGTTAATTCTCGTACCTAATTAATTTTAAAACCATAGATATAACCATGTTATAAAAAGTTAAATAAATATAATTCATTCTCAAACTTATATAACCCTGATTGCTAAAAACATTACTTAATTTCAAATTCGAAATAATTAAGTAATTTAAAATAAATGCAATTGCAACTTAAACATTTTAAATTATTTAATACTTATGGATGTGTATCAATATTTTAAAGTAAATATAATATTATAATATATATATAAATATTCATTTATACATATTAATACAAATAAATAAAATAACTATTTTATGTTTTATGACCAAAAAAAAAAAAAATGTTAATAAATACTTTTATTATAATTAAAATGTACAATTCTAAGTATAAAATTGTTTAAAATTCAGGTTAAATAACCATTTTTTATACAAAATATGCCATTAATAGTATAGTATAGTTTCTGTTGTTCGTTAAAAAAAATATATGTTTTTTTTTATTCAGTTCAAAATATTTAAAACTCTTAGTTATACTTACTGTAAAAAATATGATTAGAAGGTGTAAAATATTATGTGTAAATTTTTTTTTGTGTTCTTAGTAAGTATCAAACGTTTATTAAAAAAAATTTAAATTATTGATTAAAAATTATATTTAGTCAAAATATGTAATATTTCTTTGGAATAAACTTTGATTTAACATTGAGTAATAATTTTCAAGTTTCTAATTCATTGAAATAAGAATATATTGATGATAGAAAGTTAAAAAATTTAACAAAAAATTAAAATTAACTATTTGAAGATAAGATGTTTGTGTTCAAGAAATACAACTGAAAGTAAAATATCACGAAGAAAATTGTGAAACTTAAGATAAAAATAATATTGATTGTAAAAAAACTTTTACGTTGAAGTTGAGTTATTAATGAACTTAATGTTTGTTTGCGATATAAAATATTCATCTTATAATATAATGAAAAAAAAAAAATGATTCATTATGAAGGGTTTTAATTTCTCTTTCAGATTGGACTCGTTAGTTTTCAACGACGTTGAAATGGATACGCCATCGTTAGTCGTTAGCGTTCAAAATAATTACCTCTAAACGCTTATCTTTAATTTTATGTTATACTCATTGAATTGTTAAAAGTTTTAAAAGCTATAACAACTGAAAATTAATAATGCTTTTATATAACCGTAAATTTTCCCGGAATTTACAGTTTAGGGATTTTATTTATTATGGATCTTACCGGAAAGCCTAGTGCTTTTAATAGTTCACTATTATGTCAGAGTACGAGTATATTTTATAGAATTATGTAATTATTTTCATAATAAGTTATGAAAAATCATATTTCGTATCTTAAAAATTATTCATTTTCTATCTACTGTGATTAGAAAAACGAACGACTGTGATTAGATATAATGTGATGGCCATTTTATGACCATAATGTTTAATTATATTTTTGCTTATATCAAAAAAAAAAAAAAAAACAACAATATTATTTGGAATATTTCAGAAAATTAAATAGTCAATTTTCGAATAAATTTATTTTTAACTCAATTTTTTCTCATAATTATTTTCTGAAATGTTGGTTTATACAACAGTAAATTGATTTTTTTGGCTTATGTATACCTTATCTACGAAGAGTCTCCGTCTACTCTATATTGTTCCTTTTTTATTTTTCTACAAAATATCTCAATTGATAGTTGTATTTTTTTTTTAATTTATTCAATTCACAAGAATGCAAGTACTTATTTTATTATCATATATCATAAATATTTATTCAGAGCTTACCTAATTACTGAGCAACCAAGGATTTCTTTAATAATTAAATGGTGATTTATTGATTATAGCAGAATTTCAGTATTTGAAAAACTCAAGGGACAAAAAAAAAAAAAATTGACATATCGAAACTTCAAGTTACCGATGGAATTTACAATATAAAAAAAAATTGAAATAAAATTTTTTATTTATTGGGAGACATTTGTATTTATAATATAAAATGTATTTATATATTGTCTGCATATCATTATACTTATTTGTCTTTTGGGTAGATATACATTATTTTTTATGGGAGTAAAAAATCTGTCATTTTTGTTTATTCTTGTTTAGTATTAGAAGTATTTTCAATAAAACTAAAATATAAAATATCAAGTGCAGATATCTATATATGAAACTCCTGACTATTATTGGATGAATTTTTAAAAGTTCATGGATGTAATTCACAATTAGAGCATCACGAATTAAAGGTTTAACAATAGCAATATCTTCCTTATCATTTGATTCATCGGCAGAATCTCTCTGGTTCTGATCTAATTCAAGTTTACGAAAATATTTTTGCATTATTTTTTAACGGTAATTGTGCTTTACATTTTTAATTATACCCTGATCCATTGGTTGCAGCTTTAAGTTATATTTGGTGGAAAAAATATAATTTTAATTGCATTCAATGTTTTTTTGCAGAATTTTCGGTTGAGCCGAACAATTATAAAAAAAAAAATAGTACATTCCTTTTTTTATTAGCTAATTGTTTATCCATTTAATGTTAAAAAACTTTTAACATTTGAAAGGTTATCCACGATTTGTATTACATTTATATTGCACATATAATTATTTTACGTTCTTGGAGTATCTAGGTTTTTGATATTTGCCAATAACAAAAAGTTTATTATTTTCTGTGCCAGCTATACAGCGTGATATAAAAAACGTTGTCATTTATCTTATATTTTATCGTATAGGCATTTTATAACATATCTAATCTGTCATATATTTGAGTTAGTGGAACGTAATGGGCAGTAGGTACGGGATAACGACTAAGACTTACAGAAAAAATTCGAAGTATGGAAATTTGATATACAACGATAAATTATCATGTAAGTCTGAAACTGAATGATCGGCACTGAAAAAAAAAATCGGAATACAGAAACCGGAGTTCAAGTTCAAGATATCGAAGTTCCACTGTATAAAGTAATTTGTTTTATTGAAATTTATCTTTATATATTGAAGTTCTATCAAATGTATCAACGACGTGTGTAATTTGTCAACATAAATATATAAAATTATATAACATTGAAACTTCGCTTGTTCTGTCTTCTTTAACTATTTTAAAGAGGTAAATATTTGTATATCAATAAATCTTAAAAGTTGAAATGTTAATGAAATTGGAAATTATTGTTTTTAATATTTGAGTGTACATTTATACTTTATAGATTATTTTTTTTTAAGACTATCTTATAATTAAGATATTTATACAAATAAAAAACAAAATTATAATGATGAAAAATATATAAGAACAAATATCTAATTAACTTTTTGTAATCGAGTGAAAAGAATCAACCAGAGCACGTTTCAAAATAATTGCTAATTATTTTTGTAATAAAGATCGATTATGTGTCAATACTTAAATGTAGGTAAATACAAATAATTCATCTGTTATTAATCAGTTTTATAATACCCAGGTATCACATTAAATATTAGAAATCATCAAACAATAACTAACAGCATGGTATTTAATTAAAAAAAAATAATTGTATGTTCATATATTTGTCAATTTAATAAAAAATGTTCACACTCAATATAAATTTCAATAATTCTATGCATAATAATTGAGGTATTAATAGTTTAATAATTTAAACGTTTATTCTTTATAACAAATATGAGGTGACGACATATGGTTGAAATAATATGCACTTTAGTTGACTAACCGATATTTGTGTGGGCAGTGTCACGTTGTAATGTATTTATGTTGTCAGACACCGCTTAAACTCGAACAGATTCTTATCACTGTTGCATATACTACGGGCTACGATTTATACATTGTTTACATGTTCAATCCGAAAAGTATATGTAATCCAGAAAATAAAAATTCCTGTAGTTTACCTGATTGTCACATCATGCCATTTCGTATGTACGTCAACGCCATTGAGTTGGCGCACGAGATTTACAGAACATTATTAGTTAATGATCCGTGTAAAAATCAGTCGCGACCACGCCGGGCTGAATCGGCTGCTAGAAAAATGATTTGCAATCGTAAAAATATAGTAATTTTTCCAAAAAAAAAAAAAAAAAACAAAAAACAACTCATCGTAACAGCAAAAATATATTTATCAATATTATTCAAACAGATCTTAGTTCGTTGTACAGCGATCTTCGTGTTCAAGCTCATGGATCTAGTTGTGCCTGTTTACTGAATGGATAAGGAGAATGGAAAATATAAAATCCAGCGATAACAGTTTATTCGATGGTTTCCGGTTTTCGTAAATGTGCCAACACTAAGTTAACAATACGGTCGTTGACTCTCATTGTACAGCCTAACGACACGGGTGGGTCGATATTGGAGGTTTAACATAACAATTATTCGTACCGTCAGGTTGATATCCAAGACCGGAGTTTACACTCTAATGGTCGGGAAAATCTTTTACCGTCTAACGCATAAGTCGAGTACAGAGATCTTATCACCTCGTAAACGAAACAGAGACTGGCATTCGATGTCACGATATTTTTTACCTAACGTCAATATCAGTGGTGTAGTTACATGGGGGGGGGGAAGATTAAAGGGTTTCCACTTCCCACCCCCCAGATTTTTTATTAATAATATTTTTAATTATTATTTATTAATATTTACATATTATATTAAATATCATTTTTTAATTTTAATTTTAACTATAATTAGGTATATATTAAAAATTGAGTAGTAAAATAATTTTCATTAAATACGGGGCATAATAATAATACCATTTTAAATGATATATTTTTATATAGGACCTCGTATTATGATATACTAAGAATATTATGAATCAACTCTTAAACCCTAGAAAAAAATTGTATCTACGCCATTGGCCAGGATTAATAAAAAAATTTAATCGAGACGTGTTCTGTGACAGACGATGCAAGTTCTTTTTAGTTTTTTTTGATTTGTTATAGATCAGGAAACCGGAAAAATGCTACTGTCTATAAGATCACATTTAATGAGAAAAGAAATGTACAAATTATAATGAATATTATACAAAAATATTACGCACAAAGGGGTGTAGGTATGTATTTTTGTTACTTTCACGTGTTGAATATAGTTAGTTGGAAATATTTTGTGGTGTAAATCTACCGGCATTTAAATTTTTATGGAGGTATAATTAATTTAATTATTGAAATTTATGAGATGCATCATCGTAATCGATGCATTTAAAATAAAACCATTGTTCGTATTAAACTATTACAACAGTTACTGGTATATATTCCATGTGCTTTGTAATTCGTTTAGTTATAACCATCAGATAACTAGATAAAAAAATACTCGTTCATTTAAGCTCGATTTTAAATAATATATATATTTTTTTAATACCTATGAACGGTTTGCAGCAACTGGCCGCAACGATTTTCCTCAACGATTAATCGTTGCGTATATATTGGATTCCTACAATATGGATGAATGCTTACGGTTGGCATTTATTTTCAGTTTATTTTAGTTCAGCTGGATATTTCGTGTGCACACACGTATATATTTTTTTATTGGTCGTTATAGATCACTAAAAATGGAACACGTAATTATAAATAATAACAAAACAATCATACATTTATTAGAAGAGAAGAAAAAAAGAAAAATTAATGTATACTTCAAATATATATATATATATATATAGGACTTCTTCAACTAACAGATCATCGACAGTCATAGATTTTTCGACGTTTTTCAATTGAATAAATTCGTTCAGAATAAAATCGCAACGCGACGCAGGCAATACACTACTTTCATAGCACTACAGTCACCAAACACAATGACTATTGTTGACTCGCAAACATCGATCGGACGTTGGAAACCACGATTAGGTATTTACTTATAAAGCAGTCAACTAAAAGACTGCATCTAAACTCCTACACGAATGAACTTTTTACCTGCCGATAAAAGATGGTGTAATTTCCTACACAGACCTTTTTTATATAGGAGTTAAAGCTACATGACATAAATGTCGTATATTATAATAAATACTAAATAAGTTCTATTAAACAGTCAAATTTAAAATTGTGTTTATATCTATAATTTATAGTCTACTCAAAATGAGATCAATACTGATGGTGACCAGTTTTGTCCACGAACTTTAAAGGTCTACTTTACACATAACCGTTCCGTGTCTGTTCCGTAACCGTTCAGTTTCAGTACTATGGATTTACACCTTACCGTTTCATATATGTTACCCGAGTCCGTCCAGTATCGTTACTACTTACCTTATAGAGAACAACTTCGAGTCAAAACCATGTCCGTATCAGTGGAATTTACAAAAACATTGTCGCCGACAAATCTAAAAACACGAAATCGGAAAGCACTGTACTGAACGATCACGGAACGGTCACAGGACTGATATGTGTGAACATCACCATTGCATACCAAGTAAAAAAATTTAAAACATCAGACACGCAACGGACGGTGCCAATACTG